GAAAAGCTGCCTACAAATTCTCCAAAATCCCCCCCATTGAAGCACTATCATCTCCATTTCACTTGCAGATGGGTCTCATTCCCTCCCCGGCTGAGAAAGCAGCCACTGCTTCCTCTTGAATCGCTTTTTAATGGCACAGAAGAGGAATCACTTTGAGGAAGTGTCTGCATTCTCCTTCCTTACAAAATGGAGAAGGAGAGGAGAGAATTGTTTCTTTCCACGAAGTTTGGGAGACTTTCAGCCCTTCTGCATTAGGAGGAAAGGAGAGGAGCAAATTGTGGCTGTGGGCCTTCACGTAATTTCCGACATTCGGTGGCCCTGTCATAGCATTTTCTTGGATGAGGGTTTGTTCAGAGAGGGTTTGACTTTGAAGCTGAGAGAGTGTGACTTGCTTAAAGGCACCCAATGGGTTTCCAACTGGGGATTCGAACCCTGGTCTCCAGCGGTGTACTCCAACCAACGCAGGAACCACGACACCATGCTGGCTCTCCCAAGGGCAACAAATACTCATGGATAAAACCCGTGCCTCAGTGTTTCCTTGCAAATCCCAAATTCATCCACCATTCCTATTATTCCTCTGCATTCCCTGGGATTAGAGAAGCCAGACCCCCATGAAAGGGGGAAAACTGAAAATAAAAAGGCACTTTTGCCCCCCTGAGAGAACACCTCTCTAGGAATCCCTAGGTCCTCCAACGCAACTCTATGCAATCACACTGGAGGACCTATAAATGCTTAGAGAAGTGTTTTCTCTAGGAATAATAATAATAATAATAATAATAGGAATCTCTAGGTCCTCCAGCATGACTCTAGTCAACCTCTGGCAGATTTGCGCTGAAGGATTTAGAGATTCCTAGAGAGGACATATTCATCAAATCCGCAAATAACCTAATCTCCAAAAGTCAAAGCCACAAATGTGGAGGGCCAACTGTCATCTAAATTGTACCTTTCTATGGGATGAGTTGACCCAGAGCTAAGAAACATGAGCCATGGGGATTTCCAGGCCCTCGAACCCACCGCTCTGGACCTCTCTGGATGCCCAGGGATTCCCATCAAACCCAAGAAGAAGCAGTGCAGCTTATTCTATCATCCTTGGAATCTATGCTTCTTGCCTTCAAGTCATTTCGACTTTTGGCGACCCCAAAGTGAGCCTTTCCTGGGGTCTTCTTGGCAAGATTTGTTCAGAGGGGATTTGCCGCTGCCTTTCCCTTGAGGCTGAGAGAATGGGACTTGTCCAAGGTTACTCTAGTGCAGGGGTAGGCAACCTTTCCCCTTTAAGGTCCGAGGGACTTCAGCTCCCAGAAGCCTCAGCCATGTTGGCCAATAGTCCTATGTTGGCCAATAGCTCCTGGGATTCTGGGAGCTGAAGTCCCTCGGCCCTTAAAGGGGAAAGGTTGCCTACCCCTGCTCTAGTGGATTTCCAAGGCCAAGCAGGGATTTGAACTCTGGTCTCTAGAGCCGTAACCCAACGCTCAAACCACTACACCACACTGTCTGTCTGGAATATTTGCAGCTTCCCTCCCCAAATGGGATGAATGGCTGGATCCATCCTCTGAGCTCTGCCCAGTTCTCTCTCTTCCTGGCTTCCCAGACAAGACACACCTCTTTCTGCCAGTTTTGTGAGTCTCCCATACCCTCTGCTGGCGGATGCCTTGCTGCAACACAAAGAATTTGGGATTGGTGCACACTGGGAGGTTTGCTCATCTCCCATGGCTGTTCACAGATTCATTTAGGGTGCATTGGCACTGTAGAAATATGTCAGCCCTCCACATTTGCGGCTTTGACTTTTGCAGATTTGATCATCTGTGGATTTGATTAATGTGTTCAACTCTAGGAATCGCTAGGTCCTCCTGAGAAATTCTGCAGTTGCACAGGAGGACCAAAAATCCACCAAAAAGGACCAAAAATCCACAGCTGGGCTCAGATCACTAAGAACTGTCCTGGCTGCCCTTTTAAAAATTAGATCCCTCTTTCTGTCTGTGCCTTCAAGCCTCCTGTCCACTTATGGTAACCCCATGGATTTCATAGGGTTTTCTCAAGCCAGGAATCCTCAGCAGTGGTTTTTGGCACTTCCTTATCTGAAATATAGTCTGCAGCACCTGGTACTCATTGGTGGTCTCCCATCCAAGTACTAACCAGGGCTGACCCTGCTTAGTGTCCATGATCAGATGGGATCTGGGGCCTTTAGGGTATTTAGGACTTTGTGTGTATGTGCCTTCAAGTATAGTGACCCCATGGATTTTAAAGGGTTTTCTTAGGCAAGGAATCTTACAAGGTGGTTTTGCCAACTCCTTCCTCTGAAATAGAGCTTACAGCATCCATGTGCATCAAAAAAATCCACCTCAGGATGAGCTTTTCAATAGATATTGCTCTGTAATATGGATCATATGGAAATGAATCTGTCAATTATTGATTATTTGAAATTTTCCTCCTTTGGAGGATGTTTATGTTTAGTTGCTGCCTCAGTGCAGAATTAATGCAGTTTGATACTACTTTAACTCTCATGGCTCCATCCTATGGATTCCTGGGATTATTGTGCCCCCAGAGCTCTCCAACAGCGAAGGCCAAATATCTCACAAATCTCTACAAATCCCAAAATTCCATCACATTGAGTCATGGCTGTTAAAGCGGTATCAAACTGCACTAATTCTGCAATGTGGCAGCACTGTTAATGGAGTGCTGAGTTGTAATGGAGTGCAAACGACTTTTGCACTTTGAACTCAGTTTGCAGCAATGGAAGTAAGATGAGATCAAAGGGGGAAGGTGGGAGGAGGAGAGAGAAACTGGGACATTTTAAAAGCAGCTGAGAAAGTGGGACAGCAGAGGATTAATGGGCATTGATCAGGAAAGTTGGAGGTTGTGCATGCAGCTGGCTTTTTGACATGGAATCTTTGGGGTATGTCATTCTCTTTTTAGTTGCCACTTTAGTAGCAAAATATCTTGGGGATGTCCCCACAAATCTTAAGACTTATCACCATCAACCTGTGCAACCTGCCCCAGGCAGCAAAGAAACAGGAGTGGTGTCTTTCCTATATCCTCATCTTCATGCCAAATGTTCAAGGAGGAGGAGGAGAAGAAAGGAGGAAGTTGCACCTGTTGAATTCTTTCCGATCAGGCAGCTGTTAAGAGCACTGCCGGAAAAAGGGGAGAAAGGCAAGGGTTATAGATTGTTTCCTGAATGGGTTCTTTATATATCAGGCTGCATTATGAATCCACTCCACAAGGGATCAGTGTTGCACCACCATCAGTGTTTCCATATTCTATAGACATAGAGAAACAGGTAGGTTTTCTTGTCTCACTCATTAAGTAGTACAGTGGGCCCTAACATTCACTGAGGTTAGGGGCACAGGAACAGCCCCCCCCCCCAAAAAAAGTAGAAAAATCACAAATAAAAAAAATCTTTTGTTTTTTTTACATGAGAAAACACCTATCTAGGAATTTCTAGGACCTCCGGTGCAACTCTATGGTCAACATCTGCCATAAGTTGACCGTAGAATTTCACTGGAGGAACTACAGATGCCTCAAGAAATGTTCTCTCTAGGAATCTCTAAGTCCTCCAGGACAGCTTCTGGTGGACATTGACCATAGAGTTGTACAGAGATTCCAGGAGAGGACACAATCAAATCCGTGACTAATCAAAGCCGCAAAATTCAAAACCGCACATGGGGAGGGGTGACTGTTTTCCAAGATATAGCCTTGTTGGTCTGTATCAGTATACAAAGGAATGTCCTAGCACCTTTGAGACTAAGGCTGCATCTGCACTGCAGAATTAATGCAGTTTACCACCTCTTTAATTGCCATGGTTCCATGTTATGGAATCCTGGGGTTTGTAGTTTGTTATGGCATCAGAGCTCTCTGACAGAGAAGGCTAAATATGTCCCAAAAACATATGTCCATAGCATTGAGCAATAGCAGTTAAAGTGGTGTCAAACTGGATTTATTCTGCAGTGTGGCAGCAGCCTAAGTCCACCTGATGAAGAGCCCCATGGGACTCAAAGCTTTGCATCCTGACTCCTTGCTCTGATTCCACCTGACAAAGAGCTCTGTGTGATTTACAACCGTGTATATTGACTCCTTGCTTTCATTTTACCTGATGAAGAGCTTTGTGTGATCCAGAACCTTGCCTATGCACCTTGCTTCCATAAAGGTCACCTTCCTCTACTTCTGTTCTCTAGGACAGATGCGAGAGACAGCCGTGAGAATGTGAGATGCAGCTGGGGCAGCCATGTTCTGAAAACACGGGAGAGCCCTTTGATCACAGGAAGTTTGGCAACCGGATCCCTTTTGCCTTTTTTGCTGAAACTTTCCTCTGCCAACCACAGTTCGTTAGGGGGAAGTTGGAGTTCCCCTTCCTCTGCAAAAGGAACCAAAGATTTGCAGGAGGGCTGCAAACTTACCTGACAAAGCAGTGGCTCTTAACTACTGCTCTTGTTTGTTGTTGTTGTTGTTGTTGACTGCCCTCCAGTCGATCTCGACCCATGGAGACCCAGCGGATGAGACCTCTCCAGGACCCCTTGTCCTCCAGGTCCTGCAAAGCCATACCCATTGTGACCTCCTTAATAGAGTCCATCCATCTAGCATCCCACCTTCATCTCTTTCTACTATCTTCTACCAGTCCTAGCATCATCCTCTTTTCCAATGATTAATTCTTTCTCACGATGTGTCCGAAGTACGACAGCCTCAGGTTGGTCATCTTGGCTTCTTCTTCCAGGGAGGTTTCCAGCTTGATCTGCTCCAGGACCCCTTGGTTTGTCCTTTTGGCTTTCCATGGGATCCTCAGCACTCTTCTCCAACACAACATTATCTCAAATGCATTGGTTTTCCTCCTATCTTCTTTCTTAACTGTTTTGTTTCCTTTATGTTCAGCATTAAGCCTGCCTTTGCACTTTCTTCCTTGATCTTCCTTCTTAGGTGTTCCAGGTCTGGGAGGTTTTCTGCTAGTATTATTGCTAGCTCTGCAGAGGGACGGGATACAAATAAATATTTATTATTATTATTATTATTATTATTATTATTATTATTATTATTATTATTATTATTATTGTGTCATCTGCGTACCATAGATTGTTGATATTCCTTCCTCCTATTTTCACTCCTCCTTCTTCTGTGTCCAAGCCTGCTTTCCTTACAATATGTTCTGCATATAAGTTGAACAGATCGGGTGAAAGGATGCAGCCTTGCCTGACCCCTTTGCCAATTGGCAACCATTCTGTTTCTCCCAATTCTGTTCTGATAGTGGCCTCTTATGAGTCTTATCCTAAGTACCAATTCTTCATCAAGAGTATCTATATCAGAGGCGTTGGCACTCCCATGTCTTTAAGGGCTGCTCTCTACTGGAGGGGAAACCAGCTAGCTTTTGAGGAAAGGCTTGATCATTTAATAACATTGCTGTCCAGTCGTACTTAAAATCCCCTGCACCCTTCTATATATTTAGTTTTAAATCTTCAGGTGCCAACTGCACGAGGGGGAAAGGTTTTGCAAAATCTTATTAGCAACGAGGAACCTGAGGCCAAACCTGCCGCCAGCTAGCTATTTTGGACCGATGTGTGAAATTCTGCACAACCTGTCCCTCCACCTTCCAGGACTCTATGGAGAAAGAGCAGATTGTTCAAACACTTTGCTCCAGAAGAGATCCGTGGCTGGAATCCAAAGAGCTACTTTCGTGAGAGTTCAAAGGCGAGGGAGCCGGGTTGGATTTCTGACTCGGCATCTTTGCAGAAGAAATCCATGCCCAATTCCTCCTCCTCCTCCTCCTTGCCATATTGCCAACTATTTCGAGAAGCTGGCACCGTTTGGTTTGCAAAAGGACCTGCTACATGGCGTGAATCCCAGAGCAGCTGAAAATGAGTTGCATGGCTCTTTTGATCCTGAGCAACAGAAATTGACAGCCAAAGCAAGGAAAGAAGGAAGGAAGGAAGGAAGGAAGGAAGGAAGGAAGGAAGGAAGGAAGGAAGGATATGTCCATCCCACATTTTCGGGGTTTGAACTCTGGCTGTGCTCATTACCAGTCTGAGACTGAGGTCTAATGTGCACTGCAGAAATAATGCAGTTTGACCCCTGGCATGGCTCTATGCTATGGGATCCTGGGATCTGTAGTTTTGTGAGACCTTTAGCCTTCTCTGGTGCCACCACAAACTACAAAGCCCTAGAATCCATAGCATGAAGCCATGGACAGTTAAAGCAGTGTCAAACTGAAAAGGGCAAGATTCGACCCTTTCCTCTCCTCTCCTCTCCTTCCTGCCAGACTAATTGAATACAAACTACCTTTGCAAGAGACAGTGTGATATAGTGGTTTGAGCATTGGACTCTGGAGACCAGGGTTCGAATCCCAGCTTGGCCATGGAACCCCACTGAGTGACCTTGGGTGAGTCACACACTCTCAGCCTCAGAGGAAGGTAAAGGCAAACCTCACCTGAACAAATCTGATCAAGAACCCCCCATGATAGGTTTTCCTCTCAGGCTCAGAAGAAGGCAATGGCCTAGACATGCCAAGAA